ATGCTGCAACGTCTTTTAATCTCATATTTTTTTAACAATTCCGTAATAGTATCTATATCTTTTATATGAGTTACCTTAACATTCGGTTCTATTAGCGCCGTTATCAGATTTAGAACACCATTATTTTGTTCGCTTTCCTTTGTACAACAGTTGACAACGACTGATTACAATGTTTTCCATATATACAGTTTATATAATAATAATTACTGTACATCAATTATATATGTATTTGTTACAACAACAGATGGGAGCTCTTTCCTTATGTATTTTTTTCCAGCGTGGTTATGTGTACCTGTAACCGAATTTAGGTCATTAATAGTTCGGTGATGATTTGGAGCATATTTGCAGCGCGGCCAGCTATACGAATAACATCATTGACGGTATCCCAACAACCCTGCTAAGTCGCGAACTGCCTCAAACTGATCAGCGTCGTACATTTACCAGTGTTCTCGTAAATGATCGACTTGCCGCCACACGTCCATGCGAATGATATGAGGAAATAACCAAGTAACAGCGTAAGGAAATAGTCAGTAAGAATAGTAACAATAACATGGGTATCATTAGTAACAATCTTCACGGAAACGCTTGCAAAAAAGCTGAAATTGCGTTCCAAGACTAAAATCAACTAAATTAATATTTTCCTACCACCGCTAGGTGACCGCGTAATACAATCAGAGATGTCTTTGTGAAATCGTGCTTCTACGACGGCCCCACTCTTGCTATTACATTTTCCCAGATGCAGCAGTGGTCAGCATTGTCGCCACACACATTAATCTAACTTGCGGAAATTAAGTCTTGAGAATTTTATGCACATTAAACACATTACTCGACACTTTCAGTGAGTATGAATTTGGGTTTTACGCGGCGAACAGTATACACAAAGAAAGAGCTGCAACCAGATGGCTTTGTTCAGTGTTACGATTTGTCTGCTGGGACAATATCAGTAGAGCGCAATAAGAATTATATTCACTTGTCGAACACTTCGCTATTACGCAATTCTGATAATATAGTTGGAAGATGCACTAATCTATACAGTTGTCTAAATATAGCTTCGTTGACGTTACCGACAACTCTATGGAATACGTGAATACAAGGCACGCGCACGCGCGCACGCACACACGCGCGCACGCACGCACGCACGCACGCACACCCGCGAGGTTGGGGATGACAAGTTCATACTCACTATCTGTCGACTGTCGCACACACTAACACTCGCGCACGCATGCCCGCACACACACGCACGCACACACACACACTCATAATCTGTGTACGTTAGTGTGTTGACGCATGTACAATATCTTACCAACGGAGCTATATTTTTTGATAAATATGCATTTAATATGGTTAGGGGGTATCTCAGCATAGATTTTTTAAATTAATTGTTATCAGTACGCCTGTGTTTATGATTAGGAGAGCGCCCTATCCGTTAGGGTGCAAAACGGCTGATTCACCCCCTCCCGTACTTTCCCTTGGCTCCCCTGTCCATCGCTCAGCCTAATTCTTCTTCTACTCCTCCTCAGCTATCTTTCCTGACGCCTTTCCTTGGTCTCTTACCTTTCTCTCCCATAGCAAGCTATATTATGCAGTTTTTTTTAGTCCGAATTGTATTTGAAACGGTGTTCGCGCATGCGCAATGACTCCCGAGAAAAATCAAATTTGCAAAGATTATGCATTTAAAATGTAGAGGTGTTATCCCAGCATGGATTTATATGATAACATTCTATCAATAGACATCACTTAAGACATAGGAAGAAGACCTTTTATGTAAGGTGCCTTCTGCATATGCCAGTAAGTCCATAATCTGTGTACGTTAGTGTGTTGATGCATGTACAATATCTTACCACCTGAGCTATATTTTTTGATAAATATGCATTTAATATGGTTAGGGGGTATCTCAGCATAGATTTTTGTAATTAATTGTTATCAGTACGCCTGTGTTTATGATTAGGGGAGCGCCCTATCCGTTAGGGCGCAAAACGGCTGCTTCACCCCCTCCCGTACTTCCCCTTGGCTCCCCTGTCCATCGCTCAGCCTAATTCTTCTTCTACCCCTTTTTAGCTATCTTCCCTGTCGCCTTTCCTCGGTCTCTTACCCCTCTCTCCCATAGCAAGCTATATTATGCAGTTTTTTTAGTCCGAATTGTATTTGAAACGGTGTTCGCGCATGCGCAATGACTCCCGAGAAAAATCAAATTTTGCAAAGATTATGTCTTTAAAATGTAGAGGTGTTATCGCAGCATGGATTTATATGATAACATTCTATCAGTAGACATCACTTAATACATAGGAAGAAGCCCTTTAATGTAAGGTGCCTTCTGCATATGCCAGTCAGTACATAATCTGTGTACGTTAATGTGTTGACGCATGTACAATATCTTACCACCTGAGCTATATTATTTTATAAATATGCATTTAATATGGTTAGGGGTTATCTCAGCATAGATTTTTGTAATTAATTGTTATCAGTACGCCTGTGTTTATGATTAGGAGAGCGCCCTATCCGTTAGGGTGCAAAACGGCTGCTTCACCCCCTCCCGTACTTCCCCTTGGCTCCCCTGTCCATCGCTCAGCCTAATTCTTCTTCTACCCCTTCTCAGCTATCTTCCCTGTCGCCTTTTCTCGGTCTCTTACCCCTCTCTCCCATAGCAAGCTATATTATGCAGTTTTCTTTAGTTCGAACTGTATTTGAAACGGTGTTCACGCATGCGCAATGACTCCCGAGAAAAATCAAATTTTGCAAAGATTATGCATTTAAAATGTAGAGGTGTTATCCCAGCATGGATTTATATGATAACATTGTATCAGTAGACATCACTTAAGACATAGGAAGAAGACCTTTAATGTAAGGTGCCCTCTGCATATGCCAGTCAGTACATAATCTGTGTACGTTAGTGTGTTGACGCATGTATAATATCTTACCAACGGAGCTATATTTTTTGATAAATATGCATTTAATATGGTTAGGGGGTATCTCAGCATAGATTTTTAAAATTAATTGTTATCAGTACGCCTGTGTTTATGATTAGGAGAGCGCCCTATCCTGTAAGGTGCAAAACTTCTACTTCACCCCCTCCCGTACTTTCCCTTCTCTCCCCTGTCCATCGCTCAGACTAATTCTTATTCTACCCCTCCTCAGCTATCTTCCCTGCCGCCTTTCCTCGGTCTCTTGCCCCTCTCTCCTATAGCAAGCTACCTTATACAGTTTTTTTAGTCCGAACTGTACGTCTGAAACTTTGCTCGCGCATGCGCAATATCTCTTGAGAAAAATCACATTTTGCAAAGATTATGCATTTAAAATAAAGAGGTGTTATTCTAGCATGGATTTCTATGATAACATTCTATCATTTTTTTTTAATCGTTATTACACAACTCGCTCAAAGAATTCTAGAATCTTTACTGGAATATTTGCGACGCCCATTACACGCGCAAGGTTCCTATATTGGCATATTTACAGAACAAGCAGACTTTCTCTCTCTCTCTTTCACTCGATTCGCTCACTATACGAGTCACTTCCACCGCCATTTCCCAGGTCTATGCCTCATTTTACGCAAATAGACCGCGGTGCATTATCGCACACATCTGCGCTGTAAAGTCGTCTACGCATGACTTTCCGAGCATACGTGTTATGGATATATATTGAGTGATGTGTTTAAGTGGCGATGATGGTGGCGAGGGGAGTATTTTTAGGGTGCGATGTTCTCTGCTGTTCAAATAAGGAAAGTTCTGTCTGGAACAACCTTATCATCGGATCTATAATAGAATATATCAGCCTGTGCAGGGAGTGTGCTAACACAATGTTGACCTTTAGGATGAATTCTCGTGCGGATGGTCAACGGGTATATACGATATAGTAGACATTACTCCTATGTAGCTCGTTTACATTCAACACGGTGCCATACAGGAACACGTTCAGGATTAGACGTATACGCATCTATTCGTACTTGACCTCCCGTTCTTTATTTAAAGCGGAGTTTGGCTGAAACCTGCTTCTACACTCTTCAACTAATCTAATCTATTCTAATCTAATCTAATCTACTCTAATCAGAGAAGTGTTCGTTATAGACATTGTTTGTACGCATTCATGACCTCGGCATGATCTTGAGCGTTAACTACGCTTGCTTTCGAAATATCTCGAAATATTATTGACGTTATAATTAATACGTGAACTATGCAACGTACGAAATTAGTGATGCCATGATAAGTTTTGTGTTCGTAAACCGAAACGCATTTCTGCTAAATCTGGGGGGGGGGTTTCGGTGTCAATGGGAAGCTGGTTACACGCGCACAACACCGGGACATCACGACACTAACACATCACGTGTACGCACCGATGAAATGTGGTGACAGATTTCAGCTAAATACCGCCGCTCTACGTTCCTATAGCAGGAATTTAGGATATTCAATCTACGTGCTTCCTATATCATTCACAAAGTGATGTCTTTCGTACCTCCTGGAGTACCTTTAAACGTAATCATATCGCCCTAACAGGTTAGTAGAGCTCATAGCGTCTATGTCCCCCAGGGTACTGCCGGAACGTACCCTGGGTACGGTCCTGTATACTGGAACGTACCCTGGTAACTATCTAATATGGTTAGGGTTAGGGTTAGAGTTAGGGTTAGGGTTAGGGTTAGGGAGTAGGCGTAGGCGACTCCCTAGACTCGTTAGTGGAGTAGGCGAGGTACGGTCCGGCATATTAGATAGTAGTATTTAGTACCAGGGTACGTTCCGGCAGTACCTTGGGGGACATAGACCCTATCAGCGTTAGGAGATGTCCTGGAGAAACTTACCAGCAATGACTAGAACCAGCACGACCACCACATGGTCTTATTCGTTACGTTCTGGTTGATATCAAACTTCTGCTTCGGCAGGAATCTACATGGGCATATTGCGTAGTATAGTGCCTGTTTTGCTAAGGTTACTAGTTAAACCAGGAGTAAGATAATATCAGGAGCGTATAATGACAAATATTTGTCATTATACGCTCCTGATAATATAGATTAGATCTAATCTATAATATCTTACTCCTGGTTACACCCGTACTACGACATCACCGATATACACGACCATCGTGAGTGAGCTTTATACTATGAGCCCGAGGTTAGATAACCAACAGAGCAGAATATTTGATTTAATTACATCGCTTAAACATCGCACAAACAACAATGCGTGTCTATGTTGCCACGTATATACTAATACTGAAACACAAAATACTGTTGCTCCCTGCGAGTATAGCTATATGGCGTGTTCGCTAGCAGATTGTTACCATTCTGAGCTCAGTACAGACGCATGTACCGGTTCATTTGCGTCGTTTTACACGTGTGGGCGACTTTAATACACGCGTGGTACGTTATTTCTTGGCATCTTATATTAGATACCGGGGCGTGGCTAACTCATTTTGCCTGGGAGGGGTGGAACCACGCACTTGAAGCCACGCGGTTTGTGTTTCGGGCAGTCGACCAGTGGCCATTGATTATATGTAATGTTATTCATATTTGTTTGGAGAATAAGTGCCTCCTTGCACCAACCCCACCCCACCAGCAAGCATGCTACGGCCCTGAGGTAACAACATCTGCCACGTTGTTTGTGTATACTGAATACCGCACACGCGTTTTACGCCCCGCCCTCAAGCGTAATGTCGATACTGCGCATGCGTGTTGTCAATACCACGTCTGCCTGCTTTCCCCTACACGGCGCGTGTCTGTGGCGCTCACGTGTGTGCGCTGCGTGTATTCTGGGTTTTGCAATTATTAATTTGTTTTAATAAATGTATTAGAGCACGAGTAGTAGTAGGAGGAGGACGTTCATTTCCACTGAGTGAAGATGCATTGCAATGACATTTAGAGACAAATGCATTATACTGGCAGAGTGCACTATTAAGTGGTAGACGTTGCCTTAATGTTGACGGTTTCTAGTAATATGATCATATTAAACAGTGTACAACTGCCTATTTTAACCCGCCAGGCGTTCCTATTATGCCATGACTCTTTTTTTTTACCTGACTATAGACCCCTTGCCAGTTCTGCCTAATTACAATAAACACAAATGTGTATTTCATAGGTGGTATGATTAAAGAGTCGTCCTACATTGGAAAGGCCGAATTCAGTGGTTAGAACTAATTAGCGATTGAATGCATAACGACTGGGACGCGCAAGACATGAGACGTTGTTACATCTTACATGTTCCCACCGGAGTGAAGCCTATATAACTCTATTGATTCTGCTGGTTCTACAAAACCAGAGCGGGGTCCCCCTACAAGCTGCTCCTAGTCCTTCAGTCTGTGCCACTCGGCAATCTGCCTGCGCGGCGAGTTGCAGACCTCGTTCCAGTGTCGCAGGGCGTTGCCGGTTGACTTGGCGCCAACCTCTAGACGGCCGATGACCTCGTTGGTGGTGACTCGGTCCCAGTCGAGTACAAGCATCTCCAGACTGAGGTTCTCCAGGCCTTCGTTCGGAACGTCGAAGAGGAACGACTCGTTGAACACGGGGTTCAGCGTGCGCTTCTTCACGTGCGTCTTCTTCTTGGCGATGCGCTGGCCGTTGTAGAGAAGGTAGATCTTCACGTACGGGTCTGCAAAGGAGGAGGAGACGCCATTTCACTCGTCGATCGAGGGAGAGAGGCCCGCGCGATCGTTTTAGTCACTCAGCTTCGTTGGTCATACTTCTCGTACGCGTATGTAATTACGAAACACGAAACAAGTATGAAATTTGCCATGCATGTCCATGTAGTTATGGCGAATTTTGTATTGCGAGTGCGTTGACAGCGATCACTTGTGCAACGTGGCGTCACCTGGTGGTAGAGCTTCTATATCTTGCGTACATGTACCAATATTTGTGTATAGCTTTGACATTCAGGCAGGCAGGCAGACAGGCAGGCAGACAGGCAGGCAGACAGGCAGGCAGACAGGCAGGCAGACAGGCAGGCAGATAGATAGACAGCTAGATAGATAGATAGATAGATAGATAGATAGATAGATAGATAGATAGATAG